GATGTGATGGCTTGGTCGAATTCTTTTCTCGATATAATCGGATCATCGGTCGTAATTCTTATAAATTTCTGTGTGCGGAAGTAAATCGGTTGATACAAACATTTGTTAAATTTTTCAACATGAGAATATTGTTATAATGTTGAAAAATAAAGAAATATCGAAAATTTTCTTAAGAATTTTTCTTAGAAATAATTTGTTTTTACATTTTTTAAAGATTGGAGTCCACGAAGTGGAAATTTATAATAGATATTTTAATAAAAATTATATCTAACTTATAATCTTGTTACAATATATAATGCATACATATTCATTAATCATAATCTTCAAAATGAAATCTGAAACTAAAAGCGTATCATATAAAATCAAGTATTACGGCATAATTCATTAAATTAAATCATTAAATTCTCATCTCACAGGATAATTATGTTAAAATTGTATTGAATCGATGAGGAAAAGTTTCGTCTATCTTTAATCCCAATAATATAAATATACAATTTCAAATGATAAGCAGTACATCACTGTTCACGATAAATTCATTCTACAAGAATAATAATTTTGTATTTACAAAATATTAGAAATATTATTAAAATCCTATTTTTCTTGTACAGTCGAGTAACCAACGAGAAGCCAGGGGAAGTCAAATTGTCGATTCCCAAAGGACGACACATCGGTTACCAAGCAGACAGTTTGAGCACGTGTTTGCAATCGTGATATTTTGTCCAATTACGCCTATCGAATGACACGGTAGATGGCGGCAGATGGTGGTCGAAGATAGCCTTCGATACACGATCGTGGAACGATATCGTCTCCTCATAAGCCGTTGATGGCTCGCCGCCGTATTGCAAATTGATTGGCGTTTTCATGAATAGTGGACCGCGTTTCACGCGTTTCGATCGGTTCGCTTTTATGGAATGGCTGGTCGCGTTCATAATGAAGGAACTAGTTCCCGTAATTATGCGTGGATTCACGTGGAAACACGTAAATCTACATTGATTGAGAGTCGAGTATCGATAATTTATTTTTGCAAGTATTGAAAAAGCGTTGAATTTGCGCGAGTGTTTTTGAATTCTTATAATTATCGTAATGCTGAAATTATGTGGTGAAAAATAAATTTAAAGCGTTTCAATTGTCTATATTTTTATTTTAATTTTCAGAGTGTTATTGGTTGAATAGAATTTGTTTCACTATTCCCCTACAAAAGAAATTTAAATTGATAAAATAGATAATAGAATAAATTAAATATAAAAAAATTCGTAAGAAACAATAAATTATTAAAAATAATAATTTCTAGTTGACGAATTTTTCGATCAAATTCAGATTCCAATTCAATTTAAATATACCATTGTGGAAAATTCTCATTATCAAGAAGGCATGAAAAAGATTTAATCCTATATTTCATCCCCTCCTACGAAACTCTATTTCTACGAGTTCTCACGGCAAAAAAGTTAAACAGAATTTCGCAACAATAGTTCCCTTCGAATTACATTAATCTCCACGACCCCGCTAATGGCCGGTTGAACAGGCCAGATCATATAATGCAACGGTGGATTTTTATCCCAGGGCCCGGGAACGATTCGAGGCATACATATTTATCAGTGACAGTTTATACGGTGGAGTTAGGGCGAGGCGTAAGCTTCGAAAGCCTCGTCTGAGCGTCTGAAGCCGAGTATGCCTCGAGGGCAATGAAAATTTAAATTAGAGCAGAAATTAAATCCGGCCTTTATCCGATATTGAGAAAATCCTTTGGAACGGACAGATTGTCTGACGTCCCTCTATCCTGTACATCTTTACCCATTGCTCTCTCTCTCTCTCTCTCTCTCTTTTTCTATATATTGCAAGCGAGACGGTACGAGGGATTGCAGAAAGAAAAGAGGCAAGAAATACATGGAGGAAAAGAGAGAGAGAGAATGAAAGTGTCGTGCCTATCACACCCTTCATAATTAGTAATTAAGAAAGTAATTAGCATCGATCGAGACGACCTCTGCGCCAAGACGGCCGTGTTCTCAGAGCGGAACTGATATTTTTAGAGCAGCGCGCCACGACAACCGGAGCAAATCGATTATTTACGATGCTCAACGATCAAACGTTTCCTCCTTCCTCTGGCCTGAAGAATACCTTGGTAAACTTCCGTTGCGTCACGTTGAGGGGTATCGATTCGTTGGATTTTATTGATTAAGGCCGGGAAGGAATGCCGCGCCTCGAGCTTTCGACTTATCGACAGGAGTGTCGGCTTGCTATAGCCGGCGTTGACTTTTTGAACCGGAGGACTTCCGGTAATGCGAGAAGAACACTCGCAAGGCAATACCGATCGATCGAATTCTATTCGATTTGGCGAAATTTTTGTGAAATGAAAGTTTCATGTTTTGATATCGATTGAAAACGATCTTTATTAATCCTTTGAATAAGAATTTTTTAACTTCATCGAACCATTGAACTCGGCGAAGAATGGTGGTTCCATTACTATTGTTATATTAATAGCTGCTCTGGAAATCGCAATTTCTGAAACCAATTTAGCTAAGGGAATTCTGGAACAGCCTGTTTTCCCGACACAGCACAAATTTCAATTGCCGAAGCAACGTTTCCTAATTCGAACTTCAAAAGCAAGTGATACATCGAATATGTTCTTCAATGTAATCTTGTATTTCTAACGAGATAATAATTTACAGATAATTATTCGCATCCGATTACAAAAACGAGATATTACAGATTATTATTAAATTTGAAGATTATGATTTAATCTATTGTTACGAATATCCTGCTTTTTCAATATATTCGATAACGTTTTATGTTTTAATTGTTTGTCGATAAATTTTATCGATGCTGTATAATATATTCAAATATTCCATATTTGATCAATCATTAAAATAATTTTCCATTCGTTGTTAATAATGTATAATAACAATTAAATTTTTTAATAATTTTTTTATTTAGTAATTAAAAGTCCTTTAAAAATAATTTCACGTTTTATAAATATTTTTATTAAAAATAATTTCATAAATTGATATTTATTTATTTAGAAATATTCTAGGAATTGTTTTTGTTATTATATATAAATATAATAACAAAAATGTATATGCATAATTTTCCATGAAATGAATTATGGTTTGTACATCGTCGCTATTTTGTTAATGAATAATCAAATATGAATAAATTTCCAATAATATTTCATAACATAAAAATATATGTGGTTTTTCAAAATCAATATTTTCATCTCAAATGAAAATAACAAAACAGAGGAGTAGATTTTCATCGTTTTAAATTTTACCATTGATTATTTTCAAAACATAACAATTCGTTGTTGTAACCCACATTATATAAAATTAAAATAAATGCTAAACTGTTTATTGTCAAATGTATTTTATAAAAATAAATTTTAAATGTACTAGATTTGATTCTCAACAATATTGAGAATCAAAAATGTTTTCACGAAAGTACTTTTCAATTCATCAAATTCAGTTAAAATTTTCAAAAGGATAAACAAAACAAAAAAAAAAACATTCAGCTTAATAGAAATGTCAAAGAAAATTTTTTATTTTCTCTATATGAATTTTTCTTTTTTCGTATTAAAAAGTATTATAATATTAGCTATAATATTAAATAATTTTTAAATTACATTTTTCCTTCAAACATGAAATAAAAAATTAATTCTTAACACATTATTACAAAGGAACATAAATTTAAGATAAAGTTTACATTTATATCTGATAATATCACACAATTTCGAGGGGAATATTTTATACGTTCTGACGTGCGTGTCGGTATATGAATGTCAGAATTGAACACGAGTAAAGTGAATATAAACTTCGTACAAGTTTCGACACAACAAAGAAGAATCGTTTTAGTCGTTTGCTTTTTTTTTTTTTTTGCATTGCATACGAAAAAGCGATATCGTGTGCGAAGCTCCGCTACCTGTATCCATTCGACTATCGATTGTCGAATTGAGAACTATCCGGAAACGACGATTCAGCTCTTGAATACATTTCACACGAGAGTTTCGCGATACATTGCCAGATATACACTGTATCCATGAATAATTACGTTTTGATTGCCAGCCAGCAGTTTCGTAATAATTAATCGTTGAAATCATGTGTAATAGAATACTTTGACTAACTTTTCATTTTTACTTCGTTTTTAAAACGAATTCAATTGATGGAAAATTAATGGAAAATTGATTGTACGTAATTCGTACGTGATTCGACTAAAAGAATGTCAAGTATTGTAAGAATCAATATGCAATTCCGTATAAATTTGGAAATACGTTTCCTGATGTATATATACATTTTTTAAACAATGAAATTTTTTTGCTTAAACAATAATATTATTAATAAACGGATATATATTAAAACGTTATATCAAAACATTAATCTTAATGTTAATTATAAATTAATATTATATAAATTAATCTTAAATCTTGCATGAAAATGTATTAACGATAGTATACTAATATTTCATAGGCGAAAGGAAAACGTGATATTGGCACCTCATCAATTCGAAACCAATTTAGTAATGTATTAAATTATTTGCCATTAATTTACTGAATACATCGTGTGAATCAAATTTAGATCTCGTTTTATCGCGAAAATTATGAATCCCTGGCGTGAAATTAACAATTCTCCGTGACTGAATCATTATGTCCAACGTAATTAATGAAAATGTCAATCGATTCATTAGCAAAATCCGTTATCTGATGTACATAATAATAACACTTTCACACCTACACTTTTTACAGGGTATAATTAATCGTTTATCTTTCGGTACCATAATGATTCGAGTATAACATTGCTATTAATTGTTTCGAAAATTGAGAGGGAGGGAGAATTCCATATTGAATGAAATTTTAGAACTTCTTATAAATCTTACAAAATAATAATTCATAACTTTTAAGGATAACAACATATAGATTAAATAATACGTAAATTTATTTTTATTCTTATAATTAAAATAGTTTCAAAATTATACTTTTATAAAATTAGAGGAAAAAATTAATAATCAAAACTCACCGTTCTCTCCATTGTAGTTTATATTTTTTCCATCCTCTCTCCGCCACATGATGTAAGGTTCCGGATATCCTGAAGCTTTACATATCAATGTTACGTTTGAACCTTCGCGGACAACCATGTCTGTGCTGGTTTCCTTCGTGATAATGAAAGGTGGAACTGCGAACAAAAAGGACACGCGAAAATGAATAATCGTCTTTCATATCCTTCTACAAACTTTACTTTTAAGTAATGAATTAACGAGATCAATGGTAATTTAATAAGTTTACTTTTCAATTTGAAGTTGTTTATTTCTTTTTGTAGCTGATTTAGGAAATTCTAATAAATAATGTTACCAAGTGATAAATTCTTCATCTATTCTATATCTATATCTGTAATATTAATGATAAACTTTGCGCAGGGAGAATTTGCCTAATGGAGCGAGCAAAATCTAAATTTTGCTGTTAATTATATATACATATCGCTTCTAGAATAAACTCGACCAAAATTGATAACAATAACCGAAATCGATATCATTCTTGTTGAGTTTCGATATTTAATCCAGATAAGAGAAATGTGAATTATATTATTATTCATCGTTGCTATTGCTGTTTATTATTAATCGTTGTTAAATTAAAATAATTGGATTATATTAATAATCAAATAATATTCGAAACGTCAAATAATTAAAATGGACAAAATTATATTTTTCAATATAAAATAAATTTAAATTTCTGGTAATTTTTATCTTTGAATATATTGAAAATTACTAGAATAATTTTGGAATTTTATTTCATAAAACTTTACTGTAATTAATAATTAAATTTCTATTTCGATATTTTTTTAATATGATAAATAGTGAATGTTCCATAAAACTATATTATTTTTGAAAAAAAAAACATTTCATTGATATTTCTAAATTGTATTTTTATAATTAAAAAGGAATATGATTAAAAAAATTTATTTTAATTTCGAAAATTAAACGTATGCAAACATTGAATATACCAAAGTCAATTTTCGAAACTTGGATAACTTTCCTTCCAAATTCCTTCCTTTTTATGATAATACAAAAAAATAGCATTCCTAATACCTTTTAACTTGAGGCTAGTTTCTCGCTAATCTTGTGGAAGCTTAAGTACTTTGCTTGTTGATTGAATATCGGAAGCCTGATGACTCCTAACCCAGTTTAACAACTAACTGGAAACCTAATTGCTTCAAAGACTAACTGAATCGAGCTGACTAATGCCGGTCCCTTAATTGCTTTTACGGTGTTTAAACGTTACGTTTCTGACAAATTTTTAATTACTTCCATATATCATTTTTTTTTTTCACAAATAATACGTTCTGTAATGTAACATAATAACCCAACGTTTTTATGTCATGAATATTATTCAAAATTATTCCACGTTCTTTCTTCAAAATTCTTGAAAATTTACTTTATTAAAAAAAAGAAGAAAGAACAAAATTTTTGTTCTTCTAGCGATAGATCTTAGATCTATCTTTTGTATATCTATTTTGAAATAGAATTTTTTTTAACGATATTTCACATATAAACGTGCTTACCTACAACCTGCAAATAACCCTGTCGACTTCTCATCGGGTCTGTGTTCACCTGACACATGTACCATCCACGATCCACTTCTTCAACTTTTTTTATATGAAGATACCATGTACGGTGATCGTTATAGGACAACGAGATCCGTGGATTTTGCGTGATGACATTATGGTGGATGGATAAGATAGTCTGCGTATCGACGCGCACCCATGCCACCTAGAACAAACATATATGAATATATATATGAAGTTTGCATAAGATAAACGATGTGGATAAATTATCAATGGAAAAAGTCCTTACTGTAATAAATAAAAATAGATAAAGATAGAAATTTATTATTCATTTAATAATATATAAAATTATTAAAATATTCTTTTATTAAATATTTAATATATTACAAATAATTAATATTGTAGTGTTAATACTTATAAAATTAAAATTAATATTAAAGTAATAAATTAAAAATTTTTATTTGTATAAACTTTAATAAAGTATGAAATCAATATCTATTAATGATCATTTAATATCGTAATATTTATAGAGAATATATAATAAATATTTTAAGACATTTTAAAATTGTTTTTGTTGAATTCTAAATTAAAAATTGATAGAAGTATTACATTAAGGAAACGGATTAGAAGAGAAATTTAATTAAGAATTTAATATAACTATTGTTTCAACGAGTTTATATAATATTTAACATTTAACATTTCACCAGGAAAATATTGCGAGGAAAATGGAAACTCGTAATGGGAGTAAACTCGTGGAAAGTTATACATACTTTATAGGGAAAACCATTTATCTTCGTCACTTGAATATCAGCTTCATTACTTAGGTTATTAAAAAATTTTCTTGCCAGAGATATTTAAACGTCATTTTCAGTCATTTTTCTTGACTCTATTAAATTTTTAACAATCTCTACGCAACAGTTCCTCAATGTATTTTAATTATTGTTCAAAGAAGATGGAAGGCACTTCAAGTATAAAGAAGTTTCAAAGACTATTCTTATTTAATAACATGGCTTAGAAGGAACGTAATTAAAAGTGGTTTCCTCTAAAAGATGGAAAATATTGAAAATATAAACTTCTATATACACTCTACAAGTTATATTGGTAAGAATATAATACAATTTCGATACGATATATCGAAAAATGGAAAGTATGAATTTTAATCTAGTTTCAAAAATTATTTATATATTTCATTAAAATATTTTTAATATTTCAGATCAATAATCATTGATTTGACGTCGTGCACGTTCCATAAGAAGCTTTGCCGCTAATAATCAAACACGATTCGTGGAAATGCAGAGGAAAGGCTTAGCATAAGCAGTGAGTGTTCGTGGAATAACAACACGGAGATTTGTTACGCGAGATTAGTATGAGGAATATCATACGGATTACATAAACAACATAATGCCAACTTGGATAATGATTATTTCAAATTCAGGTAAATAATATCAAGCTTAAATTCTCTTTATTACAAATTGGAATTATTATACAATTATTTGCTATTTTTAAAAAAATCTTTAAGAATCTTTGCTTCGCTTTTTATAGATAATTGTTACGCTTCGTTATAATATTTTACCTCGTGTATATTGAAAAGAAAATTGATTTTAAAAATAGGAAAGAGATTATAGAAAACCAAGAAAATGATTAACGAAGTTTCTTATTACGTTCGACGTCGACATATTGGTATTTTCTTTAACGCAATATTTTGTAGGTTACAGTATTACCAAGAAAATCAAGGTTTAATAGAGCTTAATTGTTTCACTTAGCTACCCTTCATAAAAGTACGTATAAAAATATTCTACAAACAAAACAAATATCTTTCACGCTATGAAATTTTAAATGATATCAAATTTTACATCAATATATTTTTTTAATTTTGGTATCATTTCAATCTGCATAAATTTCAATTGGAATTTTATTATTAAAAATATGCCATCGATAACGAGGAATGAAGTTGGCGGATAATTTTGGGTTATCGAATATAAAAATCAAATTCCTCGTATTAATTCCAATTAATCTCTTTACACGATTATACATCGATCTTTTCGAAGCTCGAAAATTGATGAAGTTGAAGAAGTTGAGAGAGATCAAGTTTTTCCAAAGCATAATTCCTATCTATAGAATCGTTCATACGTACATTCTACCATCTATACGATCCGTGATGTTTCCCTTTGCGGAGCTTTGGACACCCTATACAACATCGTTTCGTTCTTATCGCCCGCTTAATCCAATATACCGGCTGCCTTGTATTCCGTATCCTCCGTGGATCTTCGAAACTTTCACAGAATAGAAGGGGAATAGAAGGGTAAGTATAAGAAGGCTTAGAATCTACCCCATTTTCTTTCGTTCGTCGCTAAGCCTCCAATGTGACCGAGATCTCTTGAGGATAGATGAAAATACGATGAAACTCTATGGGAGCTTCACATTGTGATATTGGATATTTGTTAACATGCACGAAGAGTTATACGGGTTTGATTAAAATATGTAAACGAAAGACGCATGAAGATATTTTGCTACGTTTATCTTGCGTCCATTCAATGGATTGTTTAAGAGAAATATTTCGATAAAGATTTGAAAAACTTGATTCGATCGAATATTCTTTATTGATGATCTAATAATATGATAATAATTCTAATAATAAATCGAGAATGAATTTTCTATTCATCGTTTGCCAATAAATAAATTTGATATCGATGGAGTCGTAATAACAGTATTTTATAATGATCGTTAAAAAAATAAGAGGTGGCATGATATGAAAATAATTTAACGAGAGATAGACTGTAACAAGGCACGTTGGAATTGAGCATAATTTAATGTCATTGGACAACACATTGCCGACTTAAACTTGAACATCCTCCGTAATTAATAACTGGTGGGTAATTACGAAAGTAGATGCTACAACTTTTGAGCATTTAAGGTTATTTGGGGATGAACATTTACTGCACTATTCGACACTTTCCTACTTTCATCTCATAATGCCTTCACTTTGATCGTATACATAAGTATGTACATTGACCTGCATACACCAGGCACACAGATTGCACTGTAGAGAGAGGGTGGAAAGTTTGGGGAAAGTGGAATGGGAAACCTGCGAGTAAAATAATATAAATAGGTGATGAAGACGGCAAGAATAGCTTTTCGGTGGCTGAGATACGTGTGGAGTTAAGAAAATAGAAGTTATATCCGTTTTAACATCAAATTGGATAAAATGTCGTCGAACGAAACTTGAAATTTCATTTCAGAAGATAAAGAAAGTATGTAACATAGAAACAATACCATATATGTCTTAATTTATATATAGTATAAAATGATACTGATTCGTATAATTTTGGTCAAAAATTATTCTTCAGAAACAAATAGTTGATCAAATTGAATATTTAAAAAAAATTAAATTCGAGATCACTTTAATTTTTCTAAATATTGGATTTTCACTCAATAATTGATGTTACGTTGATTTATATACTATGATCTTGAAATAATCTTGAAGTTCTAAGTATGTATAAAAAAAGTATATATATATTAAAGAAAAATTCTTTTGAAAATTTTAAATATAACAATTCACAATTGTTATTAAGATTTAATCAAAATTTGTCCAGAATATTTTTTCTCAAATTATTTAAAATAAAAAAAATATTCGAACAAGACATTTAGTATTTACACAATTTATAAAAATTATACCATTCACTGGATTACAGTCTGGATATAGAGTGTAAAATTAAAAAAAAAATTACCAAGTTTCCCAATAAAATAATATCGACAACAAAAAATTCCAATTATCCATACCAAGTTGTCAAACTTGTTCTAATTAAAATTTAAAAAAGTAATTGAAAATTGAAGAACGTATCACGCGTTACGTTTCACGAAAAATTATTAATCCACCACGTGGAAAATTACGATATTCCAACCGCGTTAAGAAGCGGGCCAGCGATAATTTTTCCGCAGGAGCGTGTTTCCTGTTCCCTGCTAGCCCTGTCTGGGGAATATCAACCCCCGTTGGCGGCCGTTGGTAGCACGAGGCACGATGCTTCTTTACGGTTGCAGACTATACCCGGATCGGCCGAGAGGGATCGTGTGAACCGGCGTCGTTACCATATTACTTTAATAATTCAACGTGACACTAGCCGTGATGTATTTCCATTGGCGTAACGAACGAGGCAGCCGGTTGAAGCTGACGTTGTTGCGAGTCACGGCTAGAATTACTCGCTCCGCTCCGCTCCGCTCGCTTGCCTTCGCGTGCGAAATTCTCAAGCGGAGCGTAAAAAAAGCTTTGCCTAATAACGAACTTCCTCGAGGCGGTTATTTGTGCGTGGATAGAGGATCGTTTGACTGGATATCGGGGCGGTGTTTGTCAAGATAACAGGGTGTGTAACGAGGATGCTGGACCAAGGCTATCTTTCTGGTGGAAAGTTTAATTAATCTGGTGGCGCGAATCTAATTGATCTTCATCTTTGACAAAAATTGTTTCTTTATTTACTTATTATTTATTTATTTCAGGATTGGGCTTCTGTTCTTCTGCAAATGATGCAGGGAGGAAAATGTGGATCGTTGGATACGAGGTTCACAAATATTGACGAGATTCACAAGAGAGGTTCATAAATGTACATTTACATCTTCTAACTTTTTTTTTATTTCTGCTTGGAATTGGAAGTTTTAAGTAAGTGTTAAAATATCGAATTTTCATCTGGTTTAAAGCATCGTGAATCCGAGAGAATTAATCTTATCGTGGAAAAGTTTTATCTTATTTTTCAGGTAATATACATAAAAATCGCACATTTCTGTTCACCTTTCTGCTCAGTTTTATCTAAAAAATGCTCGCATAAAACGAAAATTATTGCTTCCCAAGCTACGTGTTATACAAACGAAACAACTATAATGAAACTATTTTATTCTTGTTTTTACAAGTCACGTTCTTTCAGCGTAATTTTCCTATTGTGAAAATGGAGCACCGTAATTTCGAAACTGAAAATGGCTGAAAAGACCTCTCTAAACGTGATACTTAAAACGTACTGAAAAGGTTAACGCTATAATTGTCTCATTTTCTTAAAAACATTAGGCGATTCCATTAATTACACTTCAAATTAAATATTCTCGATTCAAGTTTAAAAAATATTCAAATTTGTGTGTACAATGTTCGTTATTAATTTCTTCAAAATTATGAAAATATTTAAAATATCGAGTTTCGAAACTATCGTAATAAATTATCGTACATGAGAAATTAAATAATCTTTCTTCCTTACTTTAAAGTTTCGTAGATTGTCCACTATACAGGCTAACAAAGCATCTCGACCTTTGCTCACGGTCACGTTCTGGATTTCTTCAGCGAATCTGGGCAGGTCTGAGTCTGGAAAATAAATTTAAAAAATTTGCTTCTTACATGTTTGTAGAAAAATCAATTTTTTTAAAAGATAAAAATATTTAATAATTACTTAGCAAAGAAAAAATTTCGAATCGGGTCACTCTCTTTTCAATTTACTTTCACTGTTATATTTTAGCATTTAATTTTTTCTTATTTTTTTTTCATTTTTTCTCATTCATTTGGTTTTATATATAAATATATCCTTCATATTTAATAATTATTATATGAAAATAAATTTCACGACTTCATATATAACATATTATGCATTAATTACATTTTCTCTACAAATACAAAATTTTATTACACAAAAATATTTCTATTTCATGAGAAATCAATTATTTAGTGATATAATAATT